TCGGACCATTGATTTTAAAAATCCGATGCGAGAGATTCGATTAACTTTTATCTAAAAGGACTTTCATATTTAAGATAGATGCATATGGCATCAGTTGCCACGCTGGAAAAAAAAAATTCACAATAACACAGACGACAGAGCGCAGCGCAATGGGAGTCACATGCGGCCAGTGACCGCTGTCTGCCACTTCAGATATATTTATTATGCATTTAATATATATCGAGAAGTTGAGGGGCAGCTTTTGCCTTGAAGGAAACTATAGAGGCTCAATATTGGCATGGCACCACCAAACCAATATTAACCGGCCCACATCTTCCATTCAGTGCTCACTGCTCAGTACAGAGATGGTCCTTCCATTCCATCAATGCCATGCGGTAGTGTTAGGTATAGAGATGGCCAGCATTCAAGTCTAGCTTGGGCCAGCCATGCAACTAGCATTTTCTCCAATTACCAGATCAGACTCAGCTAATACTACTTGCATTAATGTGAAAACAAGGCAATAAACTATGATTGACCCAATCAACCTAACTCATTTTTCTTTCTTTCTGAACAACCAACATTTTCTTTGAACCAGACCTTTAGGTCCAATAGTTTAACCTCAAGCCTTAAGTGTTTGAGTGAAATAATTGAAGTTTCGAACTCCACTACCGTTGTGAACTCCGTCAAAAAACGACCTGATGACTGTATGCCTCATTTGAGGAGGTGGGATGTTCACTCGGTCTTAAGATGAGTTGCTAACAACTAACTCATACTAACTTTTTAACCATTACCCTTGTCAAAAAATAAAAATAAAAAAACCAACATTTTCTTTATACAAACCATACCTTTTACTTCACATTGGATCCCCCCTCTTACCAAAACTGTCATTACAAGCTTACAATTTTAACCTAATAATACACGGGCAGTGTCTGGAGAACAACTGCTCTAACCAACATATAAAAACGAACCCCCCCACCCACAGCTGTGGACTAATCCCTTACTATGATACTATCATTTAACCTCGTCAAAACAACACACGATAGTCACACTTATATGGAAACATGTTAGAAACCGGCACATGACAATGCCAGTGCCCCGATGGCAGCTGGAGGCATTTGCTGACACAGGAACAGCTGCACTGTGGGAACCCCACTCTTTTGGCAGAAACTATGACACGAGTCCACCAGTACCACTACCCCCTAGTCTTGGCCCTCTTAATGGCAAGGCTGTTATGGAAGGGGGAAACAGAACCAGACATGGGCGAACCCTCCTCTCGAAGTGTGCCATTCAGCATTGCTAGCTCTCGTAGCTGTTGTTTCTTATAAAAATCATGGGATTCATCCATGGGCTTCAACAAGTCTTCAAGTATCTCCCGTGCTTGCATTAGGCGAGCATCAACTATTTCAACAGGTAATTCACCCTCAACCAGGATATGGAGGGGTTCATTGAGGTGTTCATACCCAGTTTTTCCTCTCATCATTTCTTCCTTCATCAAATAAATAATACAGCATTATATCACAATTCACATGTTTGTTTGTGTGAAGCAACTTGCGATGCAACATTTATGATCTAAAAATTATCAATGTTTTCCCAAACATGCTTTCAGGGACCTCTACATTGGAACCAAATTCAAAATCTATCTTAAATGTAAATATGGGAAGCAAAAGAGAGGACCGTGTATTCTGAAACCTTCCAAAATCCAAAAGAGAAACTAACATGTTAATTGGGAAGGAGGGAGTATAATCATTGGTGTAAAAGAGTTAATAGAGTTTGTGGTTAGCGTGGGAACTATAAATAAATAAATAATGCATAATGTCCCAATGATTTTGCTTCACCAAAAAATGTTATTAAATGTATCATCAGCAATAGTCAATAGTGGTATAAATGTGCAAGTGATATTCAGACATGTAGAGAAACTGATCATTACCCTTGCAGGGTCCTTAATACTGCCACGCCCTCTTATCAGAACACGGCAGTCTGTACTTGCTTCCACACGCTTCAGAGAGTTTCCCCTAGGACCAAGAAGGCGCCCAACAAAATTGTACTGCAGTATTAAATAATTGTCAGAGGCTGGAAAAGAAAGTATCAAAAGACAGTATCAAAAGTAGTTTGCTCATACATTAGGATATTTTTCAACAGGAATATCCACTCTGATTGTTCTCTTAACAATGAGACCGGAAGAGCTACCTTGAGAACTGAGCCAATTCTGAGTAGAAGAGGACTGTATTAAACCAGAGATCTGCAATTATCATTCCAGATATTGTTAAAAGCCAAACCATCTCATTAATGCAACCGATTTCATTTCCTTTGGCAGATCCTAGAGATCTCCCAAAAGGTTTCATACAAGTGCCATATAGAGCAGATCATAAGTGCCATATAGACAGATCATAAGAATTTTTTTAGACCAGAAGTAAACATAAAAATAAACCTAAGATACATGGAAAACCTAACATGCGCCAATATTAAAATATATAAATAGAAAAAGTTCGACAACTAACCAACCCCAAACCAAAAGCATAAGTACATCTAATCGATTTGGAAACTAACAGAAAAGACTAAAAAAGAAGATCATTGAATTATTTAGATTAGGTGAAAACTATCTATCAAAAGTATAAGTACACCTTCAACAAAACATGCAAATATTTCCATGCAATGCAAATCAGATAAGTGGAAACATAAGAATGAATATTTTAGTAATTCAAGAGTCAGCACAACATAAAAGTAACAAATTATGAAATAGCCTCTTCTATAAAACAGACAAATATGCACTTTATTCCCATTCCATGAACTGATTTCCTGTTCCATCCTAGAAGAAATTGTAGCTTCATGCTATGTCAAGATTTTGATGAATGTCCAATCTACATTTCTGCTGCATCTTTTGTGTCTTGACAATGGAAAGATGAGGTGCTAAGGGAAAAGCAATAATTAGAGGTAAGATTCCAACACAAATACCATTTTTTTTTATCAGCAATTTCTAAAAAATACTAATTTTCAACACTTCTTCATGTTAGCCTCATACTACCTGTCATTAGAGACGTGAGAATTTAAACTACAATAACTCAAATGAAGTCAAAAAGTTAGCAATGAAATGAATATTAAGTCAGAAATACCTCTCAAGAACAGTAAATTAGATGCAAAACGTTATGTTAATGGTTAGTGTCGTACTTCTGATGGAAACCGTGATGCCCATCCATTCACATCAGCTCCTCCATTTGAAAATATTCCTGCAGAAGCCAGGGGGCTAGCTTGTTCAAGCCCACTTTGACCTAAAACTGATGCATTCCCCAACAGCGTGGTTACACGCAAAATTTCTGCTTCAAAAATGTCAATTTTCAAGAATAAGATGTACCAGTTAGCATTTGTTAGCAATCACAACAAAATGGAGAGACTACAGGGAAAGTTAATTGAGTTAGTTTAATAACAATTTGAAGAAATAAAGATAATTTCTACACAATTTAATGGGAACAAAACTAAGAGATATTTGTAATTCAATTCTATTTTGTTAAGATGCATAAATTAATATCAACACGCACAGTTGTTAGATAACTTCTAAGGAAGTACTGACAGGTTTGTTTGCCTGAACAATAAAGAATTTAACCCAATTGTGAAAACGTGAGATCTTGGTAAGTTAGCAGGCAGAAAAAAAAAAAAGAAACTACAGGAGAAGAACAAAAAATATGAGCAATTTTAAGATATAAGAAATTATAATTTGAAGGTCACAATGAGAGACACAAGCAACCACTCCTTTTAAGTAGACATTGGCATCTACATCACTCAATCTGGGACCTGAAAGAAACAGGCAAGAAAGTCTATTATAATATTAACAAAAAAAATGTGGCAACTGAATATGCAGCATATATGAGGGTTATTTCTGTTAGTTATATAGATTTTTCCTATGTTTAGAAACTTGCTATCCTTGACATGTAACCATTATTGGCAAAACCCATTTTTGAATGCCTCAGTGAATGTTAAATAGCCGGAAAAGTGCTGGCTTCCATTGTCCTCACTCTCTTTGCATATAAATAACTCCATTTACAACCAATGAACCATTTGCTTTTTCATCCACCCCACCCTCTTGATCTTATAATATTCTTTGTTACTGCATTAGCAACCTCAGACAATTACCACCTGTATATGCTTCACTTTTCACACTGCTCATCGTGTGGAAGCAACAGAGGCAAATTTCTTATTTTAAGTAGGGCTGCTATGAACATAATAAATAACTCCACAGTCCTCATCTTAGTCAAACCAAATACACAAGAAAGGGAGCCACTATCCCTTTCTGGT